TTGTCCCCCCGAGGCTGCCTTTTCCTATTCAGTTCTCTGATCATATGCATCTAATGTAAAGAGATGCAGGGTCTCTTTTCAGGTGTTTGGGTGCCTACAGGTATTTGTGAGACGTCTTTCAGCAATAAAGAGTTCTGCAAAGGAACAAACGTTAAAATGACCGCATTAGGATGGAAGTCAAAGTGTGTGATGTGGCTCACAAAATCCAAGAACCAGGACTTTGCTGGTTTGAAGATATAGGAAGGATAGCACGGCAGGAGAGGGTGGTAGGAAACCAGAGGAAGCAATAGATGGATTGCATCAAAGAAGGTGGTAAGCAGGTGGACTTTAGTGCTGCCTCGGACAGATTAAGATGACAGATGCTTGGGATAGGGGGAAAGAAGAAATAAAGAGATCCACGGTGAAGATTATATTTTAAACAAAATCTCCTTTAGGAGGTGAGCAGTACGTATACATATAGGAGGTTGGCATTGCGTTCAGACACGAATCAGCGTGTATATGACTTGTGCAGCATAATACTCTTAGCAAGAGAGAAACTGTTTCTTCTGGGCAAGAAACAATAAGCTGTGTGTCATCCATATCTGGAAACCAGACCTCCAGACAAATGCTGCTAACAGCCTCACATATGTATTGAATGAGAGAGGACAAGATGAATTTTCTCTCCAGGAATAACAATTGCTAAGCACAACACTTTGGGTCTTGACAAGAAATAGGAATGAGTCCATTTGCAAGCAGCCCTGTCTAATTCTCCCAAGATCTACAGACGGGTCGGCAGCATCTTACGATTTGATTATCAGAGGCAACAAATAGCTCTAATCGTATTAGCATGGATACTTGACTTTTTCATCCATTACTAGAAGGTCATCAGTCCTCCCCACTCATGCAGTCTATTTACCCATCTCCATACCCTGCCTGTCAAAGGGTCAAGGAGATCTGAGAGAATTGTCTGGGCATAGACAATCTTTTCCTCTAAAGGGCCGGTTAGAGGGTAAGTCAAGTTTCATGAGCGTAGGTGGAGCCAATGCTGCTTTAAGAGAGGCCAGCAGCTTGCCCTCCTAATGAGTGGTGGTACCAATCTGCACGAACCCTGGGCCAGCACCTCCTCCCTGGCCTTCCCCAGACAGAATGTAAATCTGGAACTCAAGTGGTGGCCCAAAGTTTCCCCCAAAACCTCGAGAAACCCAGAGAACACTACTGGCCAAAACTCAAATAGACCTGACGTAGCGCTTGTCCCTCCAAGGATCTAGAGAGGTTGATCTGAATCTTCTCAGTGAGAGGAACTCAAATTCGCTAATAAAGCGACATCGGCACGCCTAACCAACCTGTCCATTGTTTGAAACAAATCTACTGAGATTTGTTGGAGGCAAGAAAACTGCTCTTGCAGTATTATCCAATCAGGTTTCAGTGATCCATGCAAAGGTGGGGCTTCAACTTCAAACAGGGGCAGCCCTGTGGACCCGTGACGTTGGTATACTCGGCATAAGCAATTGATCCTTGACGTTCCAGCCTCCCGAGAGAGGCACAGACGAAACTTATAGAATAAGTTTAGATTTCAAACTTGGCTCGTATCTCTTTTATCCTTTTGGCAAGCATCAGCGCCCTTCTGCTCTGCCCGCCTGCAGAACACAAAAGAAGAGTACATGTGGAGAGAGAGAGGAAGGATTTGATCTGATTCCGTCACGTTATGCATGGTGGTTAATGTTTTCCCTGTAGCACCTCCTCTGTTGATGTGTCCCTGTGAAGTGCACGCTGGCTTAGCATTGTTAGGGTAGCTCCATGGAAACAGCTGACTATGATCAGAAAGTCTGTCTGCCAATTAAGCATTTATCTTATTTAAAAAAAAACCCCATACTTTGTTGTAGTTAAAACATTGCTGATGGTGATGTGTCTTTACAAATGATAAAACCAAGACTTTAGATTCCCAGGGATGATATGGGTGCACACAGCATAATGGATGCACACAGCTAAGAGAGCGTCAGGAAATGTCAGATTATTCTTCCATTTTTATAAATCTTTGCATACTCCATTATGGATTTATACAGCAAAGAAATAGCCATTTACATTTATATCTGTGCCTGGCCCCAAATTTCTGGATGACAAGAAATGCCCCTTAGGTTAGAAGGGTGAGCCAGAAATAGATTATTCACACTTTCTGTACAGAAGAAAACACTGGAGACCATAGTACAGCACAAATAAAAACCAGACCCCTTCATTTCACTCAGAGCAATTACAATTCTTGAACTAGATCAAGACGTATTTCATCATTCCTTTTCACAGTCTGGACACGGTAAGAGAGAGAAATTTTCACATCCCATTGTCAGTCTTCTTTCTATCTACATTCCAGCTCTCTTGAGCTCATATGCAGCAATAAAATAGGTCCCTAAAGAAAACCCTATAGCACACAAAGAATTTAGTGTGTTGGTTTATTTTAGTGACCACAAAATACCACCCATACAAAAATGTGTGTGCTGCCATATTTTGACCTTGCCTTTCTTAGACAGTCAAAGTTCTGAGGGTGAAATCGGTTATCATTGCAAGCTAACTATTTTTATTCTTTTTGGTTGAGTTCATTACACTGCAGACATCCCACCAGGTTTGTATCATAGTAGTTCCTTGTTGATTTAGATGGGGACTTGGACCAAATGCTTATGCGGGGGAATAAGGGGGAGGAAGAAATGATCTAAAACCTGGGCTGGCTACTTGGCTCTTGGAGCAAAGGAGAAAAAGGGCATTGTGCACCTGCTTACCACCTCCCCCATGCAGGTGACTGGGATGTAGGATGGGAGGGGCAGGGAAGGGCTGGAGCCTCAGTTATCTCCCAGTGTGCGAGTCTGGAGAGTTGAGCCACTCAAGGACTAGTACAGACCATCAGCAGTGCCAGCATCCTAATTCTTCTCCAGAGCCAGTTGAAAGAAGGGAGAGAACTGAGTCTCCGAAACACAATGTCTCCTGGGGTGATGCAATTTTCACATTGTCCCTTGCTCAGGACTGTCCTAAAAGCACAGCTAATGCTATAAACAAAAATGCACTTTAAGCTGAGACTGGTCTGAGGCACAAAGCCGGGCTGGGCATAGAGATCCAAGCCGGTCCTGAACTTCTCCAAACTCTGCTGATGGTCACAGCAGAGGGGTTTGGATTCTGGACCAGCTGTACTGCAGAAGGGGGCCTCTTAGTGAAGACAGCAGGTTTAAGCATACGTTTAATAGACATCCTTTTTAAACAAACGTCTGAGCCTTAAAGATCACACGTTTCAGTGCTTCCAGTCTCCATCTCAGAGCATCCTTCCACCTGGGAGAGATCTCGCTTTAGAGTCCATCAAGACTGCTCCCTATCTGCTGGAGAGAGCTCGCTAGACATTGGCTTCTTTTCCCACTGGAGTGACAACAGCCCGCTCCCAAAGCAAGACTGAATTCAGCCAATCCATTTGCTTCTCCTGGCAGAGCCTTAAACCACCATTAAACCTTCTGGAAGGATTGTCTAGGGGAGAGAGCACTGGTTTGGGATTCAGGAGATGACAGTTCAGTGCCTGGCTCAGCCACAAACTACTTATATGGCCTTGGGCAACTCACTTAATCCATCCCGTCTCTGTTCCCCCAGCTGTGAACTGGGGCTAGTTCTTCTCTACTTGACAGGGGTGTTGTGAGAATAATGACTCTGGGGCATTCAGACATTATAATTATGAGGACCATATAAACCCCAAGATAGGAATCCAATCTGTCAGAATAGTGACCCTGCATTTGGAGGGAGGTGGTTGAAAGGTGCAGGTGTGCAAGGAGGATGTTCAAAGATCTTTTTTGTTGTTGTTCCTGATCCTGTCCTGTCAGCTGTGGTTTTCCAAGGTGACTTGCTCTTGCATGGCCTAGGATAAAAATGTGATTGTCTCTCTCCTATCTTTGCTTAGAGGCTGCCTTTGCAGCTAAGGAATTCCTTACAATGATTTCAGCACCCAGACGGGTTAAACATCTGTGCCGGCCCCAGATGGGCTGGAGAGCAGAAACAGGCGTCTTCCTTCAGACTTCTGCAGCTGTGACCTCTACACCCGAAACAACGTGTTTTAAAACTAGGTCAGCTCCAGGTCAGCCAGCAGTCTATTGACACGGCACCCTGCTGGGGAGCCAGGGTCAAGGCTTGAACTTGGGCCCTTGCTCCAAACAAAGGCTCAGCCCGTGCGTTTGCCCTTCTGCGTCAAGGGAGCTGACTGGTAACGGGGGAGCTGAGCTGTAGGAGCTCTGGCAATGCAAGGGAGCTAGCGTGCTCAGAATCTCCCAGGATCAGACTCTGTGAGCTGCACTGTGTCCTTCCCGGATGTGTGATCAGGGAGATGCTGATGGTCCCACTAAGCTGTAGGAGAATAGAAGGAGCAGATTCCCTATAATCAGTGTGGGGAAGGGCAGGGGAATTCCATGTAATAATTATTGGGCTACAGAACATTCCTGCTGGGGCCTGGGGGAGGGGAGGGGGAAAGAACAGGACCATGTTAGGCAGAAATAATGCTCAGCAAATGGATAAATGAAGTGCAATGCCTGGGGGTAAACTCTGTCCCAATATCCCCTCACTCCCAATACCCAGTGTTCTCCTGTGGGTCAACAACCTGGCACACCCAAGGCAAGTCCCCACAGCAGCCCGCTGGGAGTCTGGGGAAGCCCTAAAATGGAGGCAAGGTGGACAGCTGAAAAAATGAGTTCTTAGCTGTGTGCCGCACAGGTGGTATCATAAGATTAAAAAACCTGGAAGCAGTTTTCCTGGCTAGTTTCTTCACTCATAAGAAGAAACAGAAGGCACAGGCTCACAATGGATATACCTGAGAATGAGATTTTTCCTTTCAAACAGTGTAAGGAGTAACATGCCTGCATTGTATTATTTATTCCGTGTGTTGGGTAATAGTTAGATTTCATGGTCCTTTACGCTGCAGGTCAGTGTCATTAAGGGAAAGATCTCCTCCTCCCCACCCGGGACTTGAACTGATTAGATCTTTTTTTTTTTTTTTTTTCCTGCCTCAGGATTCTGCGACACCTTCAATATTGACACCAAAAGGCCCCGAATCATACCAGGCTCTAAAGAAGCGTACTTTGGCTACACCGTGCAACAGCATGAAATCGCTGGGAAGAAATGGTAAGTGAGTGCCTCTTGTCACTGGGGCCTAGCAAGAGGAAGGGGAGCCATTCTCTTAAAGCCAATCTATGCAAAACGCTGTAAACTCGCTCCATCTCGCTAACGGCGTTGCCTCAGAGAAGGCAGCTTTGTGACTTGCTGTTATGAGAGGGACTACGAGGCAAATTCTGCTCTCCTTTACGCTGGTGTAAATCTTTGACCTTCCCTAGCACCTTCCATCTGAAGCGCTCCAAGTGTGATTCACATGAGAGGTTCTGTCAGAGAGAGAGTTTGTTTCCCTTCCATAGAAGCTGATGGGTGTCGAGTTTCCAGGTCCTGCTGCTGCCTGTCATGTGTACATGGCACTGACATTCGAGATGTACAGCACCTGGCTGCTTCCATTCCCATGAGCATTTCCTTCGATCCTCAGGTGGGCTCACACCTCTGGGGGGTTCTCTTTGAGTTTCAGAGTCTGGGACTCGGAGGGAAAACTCTGAAGCCTGGCTTCTGGTCAGAACTGTCAAGTTTTACCTAGTTTTCACCCGAATGCACATCGGCCAGGATACTTTGGGTCGGGTGTGAAAGATGAAACTTGGATGAAATTTTTATCTGGCTTTAGGTTTCCTGGTAAAAAGTTTCATGCCTAGCCAAGGCTGGAAAATGCAAGGACTGCCCAGGATAATACGATGATTCACCAGATGTTAGAGACGTCACTTAGTGCACGGCTAGAAGGCACTCAGATATTACAGCAATGAGGGTAGTATGGGAACCTATTCAATGTCCCAAAACTTCATTAACACCGAGTTAAGGTTGCCCAGGGGTGCCTAGCGCTCCTCCAGAATAGCGGACCTTAAATCTCTGAAAACCAGGATATGAAGAATTTATGGTACAGGCCTCCTCCATTTCCCCCCACCCCAATCCCCAAACTCCCTCTACTATGTCTCTTCCCCCCCCCCCCATTCCTCCCACCTGTTTCCTACCATTTCCCTTAATCCCCTTCCCTACCACTCATCCTTATTTATCCCATTCCCCTCGCCACAGCCCGAAGCCCCCTCTCCCCTCCAATCCCTGAACCCTTCCAAACGCCACACCCCTGTACAGCTCCCGCACCCCAACATGTTCTCCAGTGCCCCTCCATATTCCTTTGATTTGCACCAAAAAGTTATAAGACTCTGAACAGGTTAGGAGCAGCTCATGTTGGCAGGGGGTGGGTGTCTCTATGTACTAGGTCACCGGGGACTTGCTTTCCTTTGATCACACTGTCCTATTGCTCAGGAAAGAGGATGACATTATCCTAACTGCTTACTGGAGTTTTTCTCCTTGCCTGTATTGAAGTTTAATGTTCATTTCCTTGACAATGCTTCGAAAGGGAAATCTGAGTCTGTGTGTGGATTTTAAACTGTCGCTCTGATTGTATGTCACCGTGAGCCAGCCGAATACTGTGCCAACAGACTGCCTGGACACTCATGCTTCAACAGGGCCCTAATCTTGCTGCGTGCGCGCAGCCCGCTCTTTTCGGCCTTTTGCTTTGGTACCTGCCAACCCAGAGTGACACCCCTTGCCTTTACTCGCTTTTTCAGCCAACCGGAAAGGGGCTGTGCACCAGCTGAGCTAAGACCCAAGCAATTGAGATCAGTTTGGGGAGGATCGGAGCCATAATTTGTGCTTTAGGTGTATGCAAAAAAGGTGGTCATGATAAAAGAAAGATGATGATTTTGTAAAAGGCGGGGTTGGGGCTGTATCTTAAGAGCCCCTTGTTCAAATCGGACCACTGACCCTATCTGGCACCTCCGTGAGGCCCAGCACTTTTCAAGACAATCCTCATCAGCATGTGGATTTTAGAGCATTTATAATAGCCTACAGCCAAACAGAAAATGACTCTCAACCTTAACCAAAGCAGAGAGAGTGCTCTACTATTCAAGAGAATAAACCAGACCACACAGCGTATTGTCCTGCTGCTTTCTGGGACTCATTGCCCAGCTATGCTTGGTGCTCCTCTCCCAGACACTGCTCTCTGTCCCATTCTGAAGATGCCCACACCCGAGGAGATCACAGTCAGCGTGTGCGTACGAGCTGGGGCAGCCAGCGGTTTGTGCAGAAAGTTTGCAGGGTGCAATGGGGAGGTGTCTAATGACTAGATAAAGATCTGAGGCTTTGGATCTAAATGCTCAGTCATCTCTACGTGTGAGGGTGGCTTTGTGCACACTTTCATCATGTTCATGTTGGGCTTTGCTGTCTCAGTCTGGGATGATTGCTCTGATTTATTAAGATATTCACATGTGAGAAAACCCACCAGATGAAAAGTCCTTCCCATGGCCCCCAGATCTTCAGAGAACCCGAGGGAATTATCTCGCTAGTCTCTTTAGAGGCACACGTTCTCTCTTACAGTGTGGCCTCACGTGCCGTAGAGTTGGTTAGTGGCTTTTAGGCCTCCCCCACTGCCGTTCTCTTGCTCTGCCATTCCCTCACTCTGCTGCAATATGGCTCAGTGGCTTCTTTTCCTTGTGAGTTAATGAGAGGTTCTGACTTAACCTTGGATTCCCCAGCTTTTGTCATCACAGCCTTAACATATTTAGATGCAGTTTCTTTTCTGTTTAATTTAAGGTTCGTGATCTTCCCAGACAGGCTGTCCTGTGGTGAATGACGAGTCTGGCTGGATTTATGCCCTGATTGCCCTGAAGCCAAAGGGATGGCGTGTTTTCTCCCAATTAGTACCATATACTGCTTTAGTTAGAGACAACTGCTGGGGGCTGGAGACTTGTTAGAAACAGCAAAGGGTGACTCCGTGGTCACAAGACCAGCCGTAGGAGTACATGGTGGATCAGAGCTCAGGGCCGCTGCTTATGATGCCAGAACTCCTAGCTGTGATTCTTCTGAGATGTTCGCAGTTATATAAAGCATGGGTGTTTCCACTCTGGCCTCTGGGTTTGCTCACCCTACAGGAGGGGATTGAATTCTGAGATTCAGAGATTGTAGATTGACGTTCCTGTGAGAGCCGGCATTTAGGGACTGGTTTGAAAGGAGAATGGAAGCACTATTATGCATTCACTGTTGCCAATTGAAAAGGAAAGTATAGGTATTTAACGGTGCCCTGTAAACTTAAAACTCTTGGCTGAGCCTTTCAAAACTGGGTGCCTGTATTTAAGACCTAGGTATTTTCCTACTGCTTACATGGGACCACCAGAATTCCCCAAATTACATTTGGCCCTAGCTCTACATTTTCAAAAACGACTAATGTTTTTTGTGTGTGTGCGCCCAACTTGAGACTCCTTATGGGGTGTGTCTTTCAGTGGGTGGGAGCTCAGCACTTCCTGAAAACCAGGCCCCTTTAAGGCATCTCAACCTGGGCAAAACCACTTTTGCAAATGTGGGCACCCATGTAAGCAGCCTGATGTTCAGAAGTGCTGTGTGCCCCCAGTTCCCCTTGACATTAACTGGATTGCTGGGTGTTGAGCCCCTCTGTTGATGAGAGTCCACCTTCTTTCCATGATGCCTGTCGGCCTGTCTTCCCTCTCCTTTGGGTCACTTTATCTATTTTGGAAAGACAGAAGAAATCCTCTTACATCCTGGTATCAATGTGTGGAGACCTGTGGTTTCCATCTGAGGTGGCAGATACTTCTACTGCAGGATTTTGGTGGCTGGCGTTCCAAGTGCCACATTTAAAAAGCTCATCCATCGCATCCATCTGCCAGCAAAGCCAGTGCAAACAAATGAACAAAGAAATGAGAGTTGCCAGCTATTTCTGTTTACTAAGAATTAACGTTTCACTCGTCAAATTCCTTGTGGCTCAGGGAACAACAATGCAGCTAAGGAACCTGCTAAATCAACACCAACTGTTATTCAGCACGTCTATTAATCATACATTTTAAAATTAAACATGTGGGGAAAGAATAAACTGCATTCCCCAAATGCCACTGAATTGGGGATTTCACTGCCATTTGCAATTGTTTGGATTATTTTTTCCCCTCTAGGAGCAGCCAGGAACACTTATCTTCATTAAACAAGAAAGAGTGAAAGAGAGGATACTTGTATCCACATACAGATCTCCTTATTGGGATGTAAATGTTGATATTTGCCTCCACGATGGTCTTTCCCCAACATTTTGGGGAACAAAAGACCCTCTGTATGCATGCTCACGGAAAAGCCAATAAAATGAGGAGCAAGCATAACTTGCTCAAATAATTGTGAATTATTTCCTGACTATTCATCTTGCTCGGGTAGAGGAATAGGTAGGAATTGGCCATGTTACAGTAACATTTTCTGTGCCCAGCACCTTCTGGTAGAACTTTAGTCCAACATGGCAATAGCCCCTTTTCTGTCATGATTCAAAATGCCACCAGTGTTTACATGTGAACTAGATCATACAGCCTTGAGTTAGGCTTGGATCAGAATTTCCTGATGATTGGAGTGTCCAGAATCCAAATCTTTCTCCTCGTGCCAATCTCTAATATAGCCAAAGCTGAGTATGAATCACAGTGCATGGTGTATTTCTCCCATCTGATCTCCTGTGGTAGGTGAGCCAGCAATTCTAATAAAACTTACAACCATAATCAATCTCGGGCAGGCTAAAGCAGTAATTTCTGCCTGCTAAGGCAGCATATCTCTGGCAATGTTGATCTTTAATCACGATTAAAGTCTTCAATCCTGATTTATATCCGTATGATACACTGCTAGCAATTGCAACTCTGACTGCTCCTGATTGCAGCACTCAGTCACTGTTGAGTGTACCACTAACACCTTGGCAACAGATACAGCAGGCGCATTGGTATATAAAATCGATAGACATCTGGTTTACAATGGCCTGAAGTAAGATACTTGTGTTGGAGTTTCATTCTACCATTTGCTGGTCAACTAGCCTAAGTCATGCCATCTGCCTTGTGGTGTATGTGGCGGGCGAGAGCTAGGATGAAGTATCTGTTTTCTGTCAAGTTTGTCCTCACTGGAGATAGTCACAATTTTTCTAGATTTTATTTTAAGGCCTGAAGGAACTATTGTGATCTTCTAGTCCAACCTCCTGTCTA